CTGTTGATAATGATTTTAATTCACTGATAAAAACACATGATCAAGGTACATTCTGCGCAAGTAGGAAGCTAATCTTTGAAACTTTATAACACCGCTTTATATTTTAAGAAATAAGACCCTTTTTTTATCAAAAATCTGCTTTAAAGGCGTTTCAAGAGGTTTCTGCTTTTGCTGACTACCATTCAAAAAACGCACGACGAACAAAGCCTCTGGAAGCTTGTAAAGCTGACTTTGTAACTACATTAGTAAGATGCATTACCTTGCACAAATATTTCCCCTTAGTTTGAGACAGGAGGACAATGGTGTCAGACTGGCATTCGTCAGCTCGCGAAGGCAGCATCTCATCCTCAACACACGGATGAACTCTAGATCTGTTCCTATTGAGTTTTTCCCTAAGGAAGAAGGAAAATGGACGATGTAAGCTTGAAGTTTCTCGGTACCTCTTTGCTAAGCCTACACCTGTACATGTATTTTACGAAACCGTTTGATCAAAGAGCTGCCAAGGAAACCGTTCGACTTCCAAAATTACTGGAGCACAACTGGCTTTACTGGAAATTACCTGAAAATTTGCAACGATCATTCACGATTTTCCGACGATCGCCCAAGCTAAGTCCGATTCCACTCGTGCTGCGGCAGGCGAAAACGCTTCTTTTCTTATTGATAAGTGGTCAAGTGCTGAGTAGATTTGCATTTGACGACGAGCTAACCCTCGGCACTACAGCTGCCTAAATTATAAATCAGCGGCTACTTTCAGGAAGTAATAGGTGTACTGGCTTTGATGAAAAATTCGTGCATTTCTGACATTCGATCACACTTGAAATAGTGACAGAAATATAAGATGCAACAGACAATTCTGAGAGCCAAAGTGTTCATAAATTGCCAAATTTGTGAACTTGTGTGATTGGCAAGCTCCATTATAATTGGCTGCTGGAAAGGAATGCTGGCTAGGAAGAGAGTAGGAGAGTTTCCTCTGGTCTGAACTATTTACTTAAAACTGAAGATAAGGGCACATCCTACCGCAAGACTAGAAGTACCACGACAAGTATCAATCCTGCGCCTGCAATTCCGAAAATATAGGGCAGTGGACTTGTGCTCTCTCGCGACGAGGTATGAGTGAGCCGACCGGGGCCTTTGCAACTGCTGCATGGAGTAGTGAAACCATAAACTGGTATCCAGGTGATATTTGCTTGTGTTGTGTTTTCAAGATCTTTCTTGCTCATTTCAAAAACTTCCAGCATTGTTTGAAGAGGAACCATTCCTGAACAAAGGGGAAAGAAGGTTGAGTGAACTGTTAGCAGCTTTCCATAGTTCAACAGATAGTTTGAAATTAAATGAGTCCAGCTGATAAACTTAAGGCCACGAATTCGTAGGAGACTGCAGAGGAGTTTATACTCAGTAAATACTTACAAAATAGCACGAGGTCTGAAACACACCATGAAACAAGAAACTACATTTTAATACTGTACTAAACTTTTCATTTGCTACTCCGCACAAATTTCTCAGTTCGTTGTCTAGATAGGTGTCCACCTTTGCTAGAACTGAAGCATTACGAGAAGAAGTCTCAGTTTTTCATTGAAGACGAGAAAAAGCTTGCTAATTAACCTATCAGCAGGGCCTAACAGTAATTTTCAAGAAGGGGCCGTTATTTTAGGTTATGTTGCATCATCAGTTGTTATTTACCGTTCAGCGGTGTTGGTAGTACAGCTGTCACTTTAAAGGACACGCCTTGTTCTCTGACGTCATCAATTGCAACATTTACATCCGTAGGACAAAACCAGACACTACGATGAAAATAAAAAAGGAGTTTAAAATTGTCTGTTTTTACCTGGTAAGAGAGGTTTTCAATGGACTTTAAATTGTGTTGTGGTTATTTTGTCTATGCACTTTGTTATCTTGTAAATGGGTTTAAAAAAAAA